GACCCTTCCTCAGATGCTGCCAGAACTGCTGAGCTATGCGAACTGAAAATCCAAATCTGCACACCTGTAATAAAAATTTCTTTAAAAAATAGGGTGGGAATATTTGGAACCATAAACCGGAAGGCACTGAATGATGATCATTACAGTCTATATCTTCAGACAGGTATATACAGCATTGAAAATGACAAAACATTTTAATTTCACTGACAACAGCTCTGATAGAAGGGATATGTGAAAGCAGGTAATAGTGTTTGCATATTAACTTCTCACTTCACTCATCAGCCCAAAAGAGAGTTTTAGCCATCCAACAGAGTAAATCACTTCACTCGTTTGTTCTGCTGTCTTCGGCAGTTTGTGGATGCGTACTCCCAAGTCCCTCTGCCCCTCCACACTTCTCTGTATCCTACCACAAGTGGATAAGTGGTCAAGAAGACATACAACACGCTTGCCTTCATCGGCTGGGGCATCGAATACAAAAGTTGGCAAGTTAAGTCATATCTGTAGAAAGCCTTCGTTAGACCACATTTGGAATATTGCATGCAGTTTCGGTCGCCACACTATCAGAAGGACGTAGCTGCTTTGGAATGGGTGCAGAGAAGGTTTACCAACATGTTGCCTGGACTGGAGGGTTTTAGTTAGGAGGAGAGGTTGGATAAAATGGGATTGTTCTCACTGGAAAGATGGAGGCTGAGAGACAACCTGATTGAGGTCTACAAAACTATGGGAGACATAGGTAGGGTTGATAGTCAAAGATTTTTTCCCAGGGTGGAAAGGTCAACTACAAGAGGGCACAGGTTCAAGGTGAGGGGAGTGGGGGGGTGTAGAGTTTAGGGGAGAAGTGAGGGGAAAATTTTTCACACAGAGGATGGTGGGTGCCCTGGAACACACTGCCAGTGAAGGCGGTGGAAGCAGGCACATTAGCAACATTTAAGACATATCTTGATAGACACATGAACAGGAGGTGAACAGAGGGAATAGAAATTGTGCATGGGCAATGAGTAGCAGGTCGAAATAAGGATTAGTTATCAGCGCAGGCTTGGTGGGCCGAAAAGCCTGTTGCTGTGCTGTACTGAACTGTGTTGTATTGTATTTCTTGTGTATTCGTTCAACTTGTTTGTCCTGCTGTTCATTTTTGGCATCATGCCTCAAATCTGCTTAATTGTGTCACCTACATTCAAGTCTAAATCCCTGATCTACCCTGAAAGCCAAGGGAGCGAGTATTGAGCCCTGCAGAATCCACTGGGAGTAGACTTCAAGCCACAAAAAACAAAAATCCATTGAGCATTACCCTTTGCCTTCTGTCACTGTTACCCAACTGCGCCCAACACTTCACTTATAATCATTAATGGAAAGCTGCTAAGTTTAAAGAGTGTCAGTGAGACTCTCCACCTAGTGCATCCACTAGACACTGTTAAGAACCCACAACTATAGACCACGGACACTGCATTAAAAGACTCAGTAAAAACAGGTACCACATAACCATGTGGTCATGTTGTATTAAATATGTGTGCATAGAGACAACATTCAAACACACAGCAGGATTAGGCCATGCAGTCTGCTCCTCAAATCTGTATTCCCACCTACTCCTTGGTAACCTTTCACCCCCTTGTTTAGCAAATCTCTTAAAAATATTCAAGGAATCTGCTTGAACCACCTTTTCGGGACAAAATAAAAGAGTTTCAAAGACTCATGGCCCTCAGAGGTAAAATATTGTTCCTCATCTCCATTCTAAATGGGCAACCCCTGATATTTAAGCAGTGGCCCCATTTCGAGATTCTTCCACAAGAGTTTGGCAAGAGGAAACACCCTCTCCACGCCCACCCAGTCAAGGATCTTATTTGTTTCAATCAAGTCACCTCTTCCTGTATATAAACCCAGCCTGTCCCTCAAAAGAACAACCCAGCCATTCATCTCCTCTGAAGTACTTCTCAAGCATTTACACACACCCTTAGATAAGGCCAGTACTGTACACAGTAAATTCATGACAGACCCATAGGACCACATTCTCATTAGACAGAGATAACTGTTGGTGGTTTACCCTGAGGGTCACCCACACCCTCATTTAGGGGCATGGTTGAGAAAGTGGGATTTTCATGGTGATGTCAATAGGTGCAGGAATTGAACCCACATTGTCAGTGTCACTCTGCATTGCAAAGCAACCATCCCGCCGTCTAAGCTAACCAGCCCAGGACTCCTGATGTGTTGTATAAACTGTAAGAATATTCCACGCGTGATGTGAAATGCTGGCTGCAAATATTGATCACTATATTCTCTCTTAAAAGCAACACTGTGGGAAGGCACTGCAACATATGTTTCCAAGGTTACTCATCGCTGCAAAAGTAGAACTTCTTACACATTTCTCAATGTCAACTTTTGCTCGAAAAGGAAATTAATCCTAAAATAAAGAAATGAAATGTACGATCAGAACAGGAACGCAAATCAGTTCTGAGGAAGGCTCACTGGATCCGAAACGTTAATTCTTGTTTTTTTTCTTCACAGATGCTGCCAGACCTGCTGAGCTTTTCCAGCAACTTTGTTTTTGTTCCTGATTTACAGCATCCGCAGTTCTTTTGATTTTTATTTAGGAAAGCAAATTTGCCTATTTGATGAAGAGGTTAAATATGCAGAGCTAGGACAGAGAAACAAACAAAAGAATGGACATAGCAAGGAAGAACATACAATGCTTCATTGTTAGCTGAAGGCTTCCTGGAGATTTTCAGCCAGTTAATTTGTGGAAATTTCCAGCTCTGCAGTAAGGCCGCATTTGTCATTGAAGGAGGAAGTGCACAGGGAAATGTTTAACTCAAATGATGTCACAAAAAAGGAAATTAGGTGCCATCTCACCTCTTCAGTAAGTAAACTCACAAACATCTCTACTGAACTAAATGCAGCAAAATGAAGCTTAATTGTCAGTGGAAACAGAGCATTTAATTCTAATGATAAGTAAACATCAGTCACAATGTGTACAACAAAGTGGGTTATGAGTTGAGATAGCAACTTCTTTACAAACGGAATAGCTTGGGTTTTATTACATACATCAATACTTTTTCATTCTTTTATGGGCCACTGTTTGGTGCCCATCCCCAGATACACTTGAGAAGGTGGTACCTAAACACCCTTGTGAACCAGTCAAACACATCTGGTGACCTACACAGAGGGGCCATTACAGAAACCATTAACACTGTACTTCTCCTGTACCCAACCCTCTCACTGCCTTCCCCCACCATCTCCTTACCTCCTGAATTCCATACTAAATGCATTTTAAAAAAATAGGAGTGAAACAAGGAAACTTCCTTCTGCACATTAAACTTTGCACCAACACTTTATACTTACTTAGATAAAGCCCTTCCTTTCCTCAATACTACTATCAGACAAACTGAACTGCAGCTTTTCGCTTTGATTTTAAAAAGTGGGGTGTCTAAACTTCCAAGTCACTTTTAAAGGGGTAAGCCACATGGCACATAGTCCATATATGTACAACACAGATCCAGTCACCAGTCCCTGCCTTAGCCTTCAACCTCCCACGGGACAGAGGTGTTTTTGCACGTATGTGTGTGTGTTTGCGTGTGCGTGCATGGTGTGTTTGTCTCTGTATGTGTGTGTACCATGTGTCTCTGTAAGTGTGTATGCGTATCTGTGTGTATGCGTATCTGTGTGCATAGCTCTGTGTGTGGGGGTGGATTTTAGGCTCAGTTCAGCAGTGAGCAGGACAGTTATTTGTGCTCACATTTGGCAATATAGTCAGTGGGACTGCAGTAGCCTGCAGAGACAAGGTGGAAGTCAGGCATTCTCCCCAACGCCTCCCCAACCCACCCAGCAGCCACCTGCTCTCCACCTCCTGCCACTGTCTGGACCCTGGCCCTTTTTTTGATGCCCTTTCCTTGCCAACATTAGAGGCTTTATTACAGTCTCTGCCACTCCGATCCCCTCCAAAAAGTACTTCATTGACTGTAAAACACGTTGATAAGTTCAGAGGTCATGAAAACCACTAGTATATAAGTACAGGCCTCCCTTCCTTTCACACAGAATTGCCTAGTTATGGATGCACCAGTCCATTATCATTTTATAAACTTTTAACAGCTGAACTTAGGGGTTACATATTCACTATGGAAACCTCCCACTCACTCGAGTTTAACAACTCTCAGCCTTCCTTTTGCACGCAAGATGCTAACACTGTGATGAAACCAGTTAAAAGCAGTTCAGAAAAAGAATGGGAATTTAAAAAGGAATGAAAAACAACCTCATACAAGGAACAAAAAAATGATTTGGCAGACGCATTTCACGTTTTAGTTTGATTGCCAAAATTGGCAACACAATTTGGTCATCTCTCTTGTGCTTATTAGTTTTATTATATGGCCTTTCTCAATTACTCTCTATCTAGTCTATCAATTATAAACAAAGCAGCCTACAGCAATATAATGGATTTCCGATGTCAGACAGACATTTTGTAAATAATACTGTGCACACACTACTTTCACCCAGTAGAGTATGCAATTTAGTGCATAACTTGATTATTTAGTTCATGCCCATCATATTTTCCAAATGATTGCTGAAAAGAACTATACAAAGGCAAGCTGTTGCCTTAAGAGTCAATGTGAATGTTTCATCAAATGATACCTATAGATTGGTTAGCTCAGTTGGCTGGACAGCTGGTCTGCAACAGAGTGACACTGACAGTGTGGGTTCAATTCCCACACTGGCTGAGATTATTGTGAAGGACTTTGGTTCTCAACCTCTCCCCTTGCCTGAGCTGGGCTGACCCTCAGGTTAAACCAACACCAGTTGTCTCTATGAGTGTAGCTCTATGGTCCAGTTAGACAGCAGCAACTTCACCCTTTACTTACAGGTTCTCAGGGGTCCTAGTAGACACTTGTAAACTGCCTTGTGATTGGACAATTTCACAGTGAAAGCTTGATAGCAAAGCCAATGGGCAGCTTCGTAAGGAAAAGGACCAGCTGCATCTTTGAATCCTAGAGGTATCCCTGGGGGGAAAAAAAATTGAATGTAACGTAAATTCTAATAATAACATCATTTATAACAAAATGATTTGGATGAGAATATAGAAGGCAATGTTGGTAAGTTTGCAGACGACACCAAAATTGGTGGCATAGTAGACAGTGAAGAAGGTTTTCTAAGATTACAAAAGGATCTTGATCAAATGGGTCAATGGGCTGAAAAATGGCAGATGGGAGTTCAATCTGGATAAATGAAGGGTATTGCATTTTGCCATAACAAACAAGGGTAGGGTTTGTACAATTAATGGTAGGGCCTTGGCTGGTGTTGTAGAGCAGAGGGACCTAGGGGTGCAGGTTCATAATTTTTTAAAGTTTGCATCACATATAGCCAGGATAATTAAAAAGGTGTTTAGCATGCTTAACTTTATTGCTCAGTCCTTTGAGTATAGTAGTTGGAAAGCCATGTTGAGATTGTACATGACATTGGTGAGGTCTCTTCATAGAATCATTGAATCCCAACAATGTGGAAACAGGTCACTTGGCCCAACTAGTCTACACTGGCCCTTCGAAGTGCGTCCCATCCAGACCCACCTCCCCACAAACCTGCATTTCCCATGGCTAATCCACCTAGCCTACACACCCCTGGACATTATGGGACAATTTAGCATGGCCAATCCACCTAACCTGCACGTTTGCACTATGGGAAGAAGCCGAAGCACCCAGAGGAAACCCACGCAGACATGGGGAAAATGTGTAAACTCCAAATAGAGACGGTTTTTTAAAGTGCAGTGTCACACACAGTAACATATAATCTTCCCACATTACGAGGATTCTATAGTGGCTAGCTTAACTACCAGCTCCCCACCCTCCACCATCACTGAAGATTAAAAACTCACCTCGGTTTTTAGCTTTCAGTATGGAGTAGCAACAAACAGCCATATCAGAGATGACCTCAAGAAAGAACGACGGGTTGTCTCTTACTCTTTGGCCGAATGGGAGTCGTAGAACACAAGCATGGAATCTAAGAGCAATGCAAATAATCATAGTGTGTTTCCTTTTTGCAACTCTCATCCAACCCTATTTTACTACACCACAGAGAGGTCTCAATATATTAACTGTCTTATCTGTTTATGGGACGTGGGCAGTATTTATCGCCCATCCCTAACTGCCCTGGAGAAAGTGGTGGTGAGCTGCTGTCTTGAATTGCTGCAGTTGAATTGATGAAGGAAAATCCGAATGCCATTAGGGAGGGAGTTCCAGGATGTTGACCCATTGGCATTTAAGGAGTGGCAGCAATATGGTTCCAGGCTAGGACGGAGAGTGGTTTGGAGGGGTATTCCCATATATCTGCTGTTGTCCTTCTAGCTGATAGTGGTCAGAATGTTTGGAAAAATGCTGCCTCAGGAGCAGTGCATCATATAGATGGTACACACTGCTGCGACCGAGCATCAATCGTGAAAAGGAATGAATATTGAAGATGGTAGACGGGATGCCAATAAAGCATACTCCTTTGTTTTCTGGATGGTGCAAGATTTTTGAGTTTTGTTGGAGGTGCACCCATCCAGAAAAGTGGAGAGTAATCCATCATTCTCCTGACTTGTGCCTTGTGTAGACAGCAGACAGGTTTTTGGGAAATGAGAGATCAGAGTTCTTTGCTGTGGAATTCCTAGTCTCTGAGCTGACCTTGTAGCCACTGTATTTAAATGGTTGGTCCAGTACCGTGTCTAGACATAAGAACATGAAGCAGGAGTAGGTAATTCAGCCCCTCGAGTCTGCTCCTCCACCCAGTACGACCATGGCTAATCTCAAATTGGCCTCAACTCCACTTTCCTACCAGCTCTCCACAACCCCTTTAACCCCTTAATAATTAAAAATCTGTCTACCCACTTCTTACATTTACTCAATGTCCTAGCATCCACTGCACTCCGGGGTAGTAAATGCCACTGTTTCCCAACCCTTTCAGAGAAGTAATTTCTCCTCACCTCTGCTTGAAGCCCACTACCTCCATCCTAAAACTATGACCTCTCACTCTAGATTGCCCCACATGTGGAAACATCCTCTCTACGTCTACTTTGTCAATCTCCTTTGGCATTATATATCCCTCAAGTAGACCGCAAGTAGAAACTTTCAAGGGGTTGATAGCGGAAAAATGCAGCATTAGTAATGCCATTGAATGTCAAGATGAGAAGATTATAATCTCTCATTTGAGATGGTCATTGCCTGGCAGAGATGTTACATGCCATTTAGCAGCCCAAGCCCGGATGTTGTCCATGGCTTGCTTTATATTGGCACAAACCGCTTTGGTTTCTGAGGAGTCATGAATGGTATCCAGCATTGTGCAATCATCAGTGAACAACACTCTCGACCTTCAGATGGAGCCAAGGTCACTGATAGCGGAGGCCAGAACACCACTGTATGGATCTCCTGTTGTAATGTTTGACCTCCGAGAACCACAACCACGTCTGTGCACAATGTATTACTCTGAAGTGCAACATCTATTTTGGGTACAAACATCAGCAGTGCACAGCAGAATTGTGCAAACTGAATTAGATTTGTAGCTGCATGATTGGTTTGTACAACCAACTGAAGGCAGACTTTGGCCTTTATAGAACCTTTTAGATGCTTATGGAAGCCTTCATAATCAATTAATTACTTTTTGCAGCAATACTCAAGCAAATAATTTCCTGTTCCATTTAGATAACAGATGAGGATCAATAAGGCACTTCTCAAAGCAATGGAGCACTGCCATCAATGAATAAATTCCACGCAATAAAAGGGAATTATCTGAAGGTGCAAGGCTCCCAATATTTATTCAGCATTAGAATAGTCACTGTTAATTTTGCTGATTCACAAAGTACATTTCACCCCTGCCAGAAGTTAAACGTGGTTAATTGTGAAGAACAAGATGACCTACAGCCATAGGTCAATATCAGAAAGACGTTCTGATGCTGCACTGCAGGGTGGAGAATTAGTTGCCAGATGTTATCAGGGTCAAAGAGTTTTGGGTCATCCGCACTGAAAAATCAAATTAAAGTCTCTCTCATTGACCTGCAGAGGGAGGTTAAACTCCAGTAAACATTTATTGTGCTGTCCAATCTTGGGGCTCAAGAACTAAGTGAATGGTCTGTAATTCAGACGAGTCATTGACTGAGGCTCTGCCTGCTCTCTCCATTGGACAAGAAAGGTCCCATGGCCCTTGCTGTTTTGGGATGATTGCTCTTACAGTCTTCCACACTCCTAGTTAATATTGATCCCTCAAAGGAGCTAAATGCTGGCTAAGTGCTTGCTGAACTGTCTGAAGTAGTGTGTTTAACACATAATGTATCTGTGCTTTTGTAAGTGGTACCTGTGTTAATGGAAATGTTCAGTACCATTTGTCCAATATCTGCAGCTGGCCATAATGAGTGAGACTGGTGCAAGACTACATGTGAATAAAGTAACATTCATGCAATAACAGAATCTAACCATCGTCCTTTGACATTCAATCTCAATACCATCACTGAATACCCCACCATCGACGTCCTGGGGGTTACCATTGACCAGAAACTTAACTGGACCAGGCATATACAGATTGTGGCTACAAAAAACAGACCAGGGACTGGGAATTCTGCAGTCAGTAACCCACCGTTCATCAATAATCTCCACTTGCCTGGCTGTGTAGCTCTAAACACTCAAGAAGCTCAACACCATCCAGGAGAAAGCAACATGCTTTAACACCCTTCCTAAGAGAACTGTAGGTGTTTCTACACCACAGAGACCACAATGGTTCAAGAGAGTAGCTCACCACCACCTACTCCAGGGTAATCAGGAATGGACAATAACCACTGGCTCAGCCAGTGATGCCCACATCCAATATTCCCTCTAATGCCCACATGGGTCTCTCAGGTCCGTGCGCGACAGTCTCTTCCGAAACCAGAAGTTAATGCTGGGAACGTCAGACTGTCGATTGGCATGTGTAAAACCTCCAAGCAACTGCACAGCCAAACAGCTTTTAGGAAACATCCTCCACGTCCCACTAAAAAAAAATCTTTGTAGAAGTTGAAGGCAACAGAAAGAAAGCTTTAGGTGAAATGGAAAGTGTTAGAAATGCTTGGTCTACCTTGGCCTCAAGGATTCCCCATCAATGCGTGGCATTATAATGCAAATTTAGCCACTTCAAAGTTGCTCACTAGGATACAAGGCTTAATTGGAATAAGACTGGCACATGGTGGTTTTATGTTTTTCTCAAAATAAATAAATAGATTAACTTATGATATAGCTTCTTAAAGTAAAACAAATTCATTATCAGGCTAGCATAACTAGACAACATCACGTGGCTTTGTTTTCTTTTCAGAAATCTGAACTAAGGTCCAATTCTGGCAAATTCCTCCTTTAGACAAAAGGCCAACCTAGAAATATAGAAGCTTGACCATTATCCAGTAAGGAAGTTTTTTTTTAATTTATTAACAGGATGAGGGCGTTGCTGGCTAGGCAGCATTAATAATCAATCCCTAATTGCCCACAGGGCAATCACAGTCAACCACACTGCTGTGGGTCTGGAGTCACATGTAGGCCAGACCAGGTAAGGATGGCAGTTTCCTTCCCTAAAGGACATGAGCGAACCAGATGGGTTTTTCCAATAATCGACAATAGATTCACGGTCATCATTAGATTCTTAATTCCTGATTTTGTTTTTAAAATTCAAATTCCACCATCCACCGTAGTGGGATTCAAACTGGGTCCCCAGAACATTATTTGGGTTCTCTGAAATAACAATCAGGTGATAATACCACTAGGCCACCACCTCCCTTAGTTTGTATACTTATATATTTACACTCAATGGCGCAAAGACTTTGTTGAATGTTGCTTTGTTAAACTGATGTAAACAAAGTCCTGTTCCTCCAACTCACTGGCAGTCTATCCAATCAGCACTTTGATTTTGTAAATGTTACAAGTCAATCATGATACAATTAAAAAAAACAGTGAACACCCATGAAAACTGTAAAATCAATGAAAGACCGGATGATGAGTCCTGAGTGAATTTGAGGCTGTTTGAGCAATGTGCTATTTCTGGTATCATCCTAAACATTAACAAAGTTCAAGTGAATTATCAGGAAAGCTATTAAAACTGTTAAATTGTTAACCACTAATATGTTTTTTTTATATACAGTGTTATAAAATGTTAATCAACACACTCACTGCTATAGACTAAAATGTTAACTAACTGGTCATAGCACCAGGATCAAAGTCAACTTTATTTGATATGAGGCGAATGCTGGGTGTCCTACCAACCACATCTTCTGAGTGCATGGGTTCCTTGGGGGTTACATGATCTAGCGGGTTGTGAGAGCAGACACCCTCTGGCATAACGAAGAGTCTTGTCGAGAAAACAAGATGTAAATTGTTGCAGAGATGCAATAGACTGCAGGTTGTAAGAACAGGCTTTGTTACCACAGCATTGGATATGCATTGGGGCTGTCTCACACAAAGTCCTACTTTACTCTCTCACCTAGTAAACATGGTATCAATACAATGGGTGATGCCTCTATTGCACTCAATCAAATACTAAACCTTTCAGGTCGTTCCAGGCACATACACAATATCTCTCCCCTCCCCACAGGACCGTAAGAAATAGGAACAGGAGTAGGCCATTCAACCCCTCGAGTCTGCTCTGCCATTCAATAGGATCATGGCTGATCAGACCACTCCATCGCCATACCCCCATGTTTTATTTTCTGCTAACTGTTCATATTATACATTTGTTCACAGTGTTATGGTGATTGTTAAAATGGAATATCATATTTTAACTTCCACCCTGATTGTTATACCTGAGATCTTTCAAGGACTAAACGAGGATGAAACATGGACCTGAACTGGCTACAGTGGTCATCTGACTGAGGCAGACTTCAAGGGACCCATGTGGAACGAACAAAACTGTCCGCCCCGAAATTGCCATTTTTATCTAAAGACGTCAAAATCAAGCATCTGAGTCAACATTAAGAAATTCTCATCTCCTATTTTAATTCACAAGTGTAGGATAATTTCACATATTGGGAGGTGAAATGCTCATCTGCAGGTTAGCCAGCTTGGAAGGACAGTGGAGCTATACTCAGGAATACAAACTGAACTATATTTCAACAGCTGGTTTTAAGCAACAGGGCAAAGAGAAGGGAAAATTAATTTGTGACAACAACAGTTGTCCTGCCTGTTCCTCTCATCATCTAAGAATACAGCATTCAGTGAAAAAGCAAACTGGGCAAGGTATCATTCATCAAGAACTCATGAGATATTGACAGATTCCACTACTGCTGAGGATACAAATCAAACATTAAACAACTATGGTCCCAGGTTAAGAATCGAATACCTCAAGGATTTGAGGGACTGTTTAACTGTGTAATCTTTAGTGTCCCTGTCTGTACCAGAGATGGTCCCTCTTAAATGTATCGCTTATGCGTGTGTTTGATGAGAAATTGTGTTTGATTAACTTGTTGGAGTTTTTTTGAGAATGTTATTAATAAAATTGGTAAATGGGTATTAAACAGGAAACAAAGAGCTGCAGATGCTTGAAATCTGAAACAAAAACAGAAATTGCTGGAGAAATTCAGCAGGTCTGGCAGCATCTGCAGAGAGGAAGCAGAGTTAACACTTCAGGTCCAGCAACCCTTCTTCAGAACTGATTGTAGCCAGGAACAGGTTGGTATAAATGCTGAAGATGGGAAGTGAGAATTCATAGTTGTGAAATAGGTATTGGTTTTATAGTTTTTGGTGTTGAAGAGTTGTGTGTAGCGTGTTTTTGATAGTAAGTGCAATGACCATGTAGTTGAACTTATATAGCTGTGAACAGTTTATCGTCAATAGCCAATGCTCACTATCTGATAATGTTGTGACACTTACTCCTGAGTCTAACTTGTAATTCATGACGGGGTCAGCTCACCAAAGTCTTTAGTCTGGATCGTTAATCTCCTTTGACAAAACTTGGGTTTGTCTTCTACTGGAGACCGCTCTGTCTCAGTTAACTCTGCGTGGGCAGTTGTTCAGTTTTTTGCTTTTCTGTGGCTATGTCCCACTTCAACACATTTTCTAAAAATGACCTAATGCTGTATATTAAAAGCATTCGGTTTTAACACCTAGGCACTGTTCACTCCTGTGAGTTCTCTTTGCTCCAAAGTGTTGGCAAGGACTTTAAGTGTCCTAACCACTGCAATGGCTTATCATGTGTATCTTTTGCGGTTCTGTACCTTAAGAATTGAATGGATTCTCTTCGATGAAGTTTGGTCTGTTTTCCCTTATGATTAATTAGTTTTGCTTTGAACCTTTGCTTTACTCACTGTCTGAAATCGGTTTTGTTGAAAGCCATGTCTTCTTTATACTTAATAAATCTGACAAGGACTCATGAGCAATGCTTACAACAATTGCATCTGTAATGAGTTCTGACTTTAAGTCACCACAGTGGAACTTCTCCAGTAGTTTGTAGAGGTAATTAAAGATATTATCTATGGGTTCACCTGGAGGCTGCAATTTTCTGTTAAATGTTGTTTTTTATTAATTGTGAAGTTGAAATAGTTGTCAAAGGCTCTCAGTACCTCTTTGTATGTGTCTTTTGCTTCTTTTACCCCTTGGAGAGCAATAAAATCATCGGTTCCACTCCCAATTCTGTACAGCAGTGTCTTGACTGATTCAGAAGCTGAACAAGTTCAGAAGGTAAAGAATCATTTTGCTAGAATGCTCAATTTTGCTTTCTATTCGGAACATCTCTGAAATTAAATCTTCCTGCCAATACTATTTCTGCTGGCACTACTCCCTAATTAGGTACTTCAACTTCTTTGAAAGGTTTTTATTCTTCAGTAATTGTGGTTCTCCTACGCTTTGTTTCTGTTCTGGAGGGTCTCCCCTCACTTTGCAGCTTTAGAAGAAAACTTAGGGGAGGTGATGGCCTAGTGGTATTATTGCTGGACTGTTAATCCAGATACCCAGGTAATGTTCTGGGGACCCGGGTTTGAATCCCACCATGGCAGATGGTGGAATTTGAATTCAATAAATATCTGGAATTAACAGTCTGATGATGACCGTGAATCCATTGTCATTGTTGGGAAAAACCCATCTGGTTCACTAATGTCCTTTAGGGAAGGAAACTACCATCCTTAACTGGTCTGGCCTACATGTGACTCCAGACCCGCAGCAATGTGACTGACTCTTAACTGCCCTCTGGGCAATTAGGGATGGGCAATAAATGCTGCGGCAACGCCCTCATCCCGCGAATGAATAAAGTCTCTGCACTTTTTTTCTTATTTGCTCATGGGATGTATGCATTGCTGGTTAGGCCAGCTGTTATTGCCCAGCACACACTACCCTGGAAAAGTTGGCAGGAAGCTGCCTTCTTGAACTGCCGCTGTACCTGAAGTAAAGGTAAGTCCACAATGCTGTAAGGAAAGGCTTTCAAAGATTTAGACTCAGATATAGTTAAGAAAGGGTGTCAGAGTTCAAAGTCAGGATGATGTGTAGCTTGGAGGGGAGCTTACAGAGGGCAGTATAAAAACAGAAAATGCTGCAGGTCTGGCAGCATCTGTGGAGAGAGAAGCAGAGTTAGCATTTCAAGTCTGGCTTCAAAACAGAACGGTCCTGAAGAAGAATCACATCAGACTCGAAACATTAACTCTGTTTCTCTCTCCATAGACACTGCTAGATGTGCTGCATTTCACTAGCATTTTCTTGTTTCTTTTAGATTTCCAGCACCTGCAATAATTTGCTTTTATTGCAGCGATGGTATTCCCAAGCACCTGATTCTGGTCCTTCAAGGTGGCACAAGCCTCGGGTTTGGAAGGCGCCATCCGAGATGCCTTAATGAGTCGTTCCAGTGCACCTTGTAGATGGAACACACTGCTGCCACCATGTGTTGGTGGTGAAGGTACATGCTGAAGGTAAACATGCTTTGTCCTGAATGGTGTAGAGCTTTCAATGTTGTTGGAGCTGCACCCATCCAGACAGTTGTATTCCAACACACTCCTGACTTGTTCCTCATAGAATCCCTACAGTGTGGAAGCTGGCTATTCAGCCCATTGAATCCACGCCACCCCTCCGAACAGCATCCCACTCAGGGCCCACCCTCCCACCGTATCCCTCTAACCCTGCATTTCCCATGGTTAATCCAACTAGCCTGCACAACCTTGGATACTATAGAATGATTTAGCTTGGCTAATCCACCTAATCTGCAGATCTTTGGACAGTGGGAAGAAACCGAAGCACCCAGAGGAAACCCATGCAGACACAGGAAGAACTTTTAAACTCCTTACAGTCACCCAAGGCTGGAATCAATCCCAGGTCCCTCGTGCTGTGAGACAACAGTGCCAATCACTGAGCCACCGTGCCACCCTACAGATGGCAGACAGGAATTATGGAGACAGGAGCCAAGTTACTCATCGCAATATTCTAGGCCTCTAGCCTGCTCTTGCAGGCACAATATTTATTGTAATCAGTCCAGTTTGTTTCTGGTCAATGGTAACCCCCAGGACGTTGGTTGTGAGAGATTCTGTAATGGCAATACCACTGAATGTCAAATGGCGATGGTTAAATTCCTTCTTATTGGAGATGGTCGTCGCCTGGCACAAATGTTACTTGCCACTTATCTGCCCAATTCCGAACGGTGTCCATGACTTGCTACATTTGTACACTGACTGCTTCAGTATTTGAGGGGTTGTGAGTGGTGCTGAACATTGTGCAAACAATCATTAGTGAGCATCCCCACTTCTGAGCTTACAATTAAGGGAAGGTCATTGATGGGGGAGCTGAAAGTGGTTGGGCCAAGGACCCTACCCTGAGGAACTCCCGCAGCGATGTCCTAGTGAGGTCAGATGACTGACCACCAACAACCACAACCATCTTCCTTTGTGTTAGGTTCTCCAGCCATGTCTCAGTATGATTAAATTCCTGCTGAATTCATATCCAAAAACACAATCTGGCGAATCTTGTATGACACAAAAATAGCCTCTTGCTACATAGAAGGTAAACAATTAAAGAATGTAAACGATGTACAGACTTGGTGAAGATATGCCAGTGCTGCATGGCATCATGGTGATATAAAGATGTGGCTGATGTTACATACGAGGGAAACAGTGTAAGTACTCATGAGGTCAAGTAACACTTGACGAGAGAGTGAGTTAGTATTTGAGGTTGATGACCTTTCTGCTGAAACATCATCACTGACATGAAACATTAATTCCATTATCATCTTTAAGGGGGTCAGTGAAGGGGTGTATGTGGCACAGTGTATTGGACAATTAGGGGGTGTGGGGTGATGTCGGCTGAGGGTGGAATGGGCAGTGAAGGGTGAGTGTGGGGTTTGAGCAGGATGTATTCCTGTGCACAGCAGATCACAGAGTTAACCCTGCCAGGTACAGATCGGAGTAGCAGTGCAAAGTGGCATTAGTTGCTAACTCACAGATTATTGACTGAATTCCACCTTACTTTTATCAGAAAGCAATCTCATGTCACTTCCCAAATTGGAACGTTTTAGAAATGCACTTGAAAATATTTCCTCATGCGTTCGACATAAATGGATGTTGGGAACTAATTCGACACATCATCTTATTGGTGCCACGAAGGATTGGATCACTCACAGTGTCCAAATCATTTGAACTTAGGAGATCTTGGGTTGAGAGGCAGTGGATGGGCACATTCAATTAAGACTCCACAAAGGCAAAACATGCAAACAAACTTCAAACTCAAATAAACTCAAGGGCTCAGACAGTTTTTTATTTGTTTATCATCTGACATTCTGAACCATAGGTCCCTTTGTGATGTGCTGTTATAAACTACTCAAAAATAATCAACTGATACGCAAGTTTTTGTGAAGTACCTGTAAGCCTGGAGAAGAAATAGCTTGTAGACGTTGATGTTAACTGTTCTCAATGTATTAACCTGCAGGAATTATAAACATCTTTGAGCTGATCATCAATTTTATACTTGTCTATACAGTACATAACACCCACCTCCCTCACGTCAAGTCTGCAGCAACAATTCAAGTTATTTTAATCTCTGGGCAGTTACAGTGCATTAAGGTCAAAAAGAACGTATGTAACTAGGTGTGCTTCACCTAACACTGCAGGAAGAAACTATCTCAAGTTTGCTTCTGCTAATAATGAAGTATAGAAAGCCAAAATAGTTTTGCAATTGTGTTTTACCATTATATTAAATAATTATCTTGAATTCATTTCAAATCAAAATGTGTTAACTCTCCAACAGTTTGTAGCAGCAGTGCAGTGATGCATAAATGTATGTTTTCATTTATGTGAAACTGGATTAACCAAAGGTTCTACTTTGGGCTCTTCTGGCATTGTAATGTCACAGATAGGTTTACGGGACAGTGGAGATCACAGAAACGATTGCAGGTTTCTGTGCGTGTAATGTGGAAAAAGTGAGTATTTGAGCAGCTTATCTTGGGAAGAGGAATTCTGGACAAAAACAAAGTATAAACAAACAGAGACACTGATATTGATTTGTGGCGATCACTTCCAATTATAAACTTTTATTATGAATTTCTCATCTCTTGACTATTATTACCTGTGAGAACAATACTGTATAATGTTGCACATGGTTCATTAATTCTGTTAAAGTTATCAATTGCCCAACAAGCAAGTGCCTTTTTTTATTCATTTTTAGGAGTAGGTGTCGCTGGCTGGCCAGCATTTCTTGCCATCCCTAGTTGTCCTTGAGAAGGTGATGGTGAGCTGCCTTCTTGAACCACTGCAGTCCTTCTGCTGTGGGCTGACCCACAATGCTATTAGGGTGGGAATTCCAGGATTTTGACCCAGCAACAGTGAAGGAACGGTGATATATTTCCAAGTCAGGATGGTGAGAGACTTGGAGAGGAACTTGGAGGTGGTGCTGTTCCCACATATCTGCTGCCCTTGTCCTTCTAGATGGAAGTGGTCGTGGATGTGGAAGGTGCTGTCTGAGGATCTTTGGTGAATTTCTGCAGTGCATCTTGTAAGCAGTACACACTGCTGCTACAGAGCGTCCGTGGTGGAGGGAGTGACTGGATCTATCAGATAGAGAGACTCAATCTTACTGCAGGCTGGAAGGCCGTCTAATTAGCCAGAAAACAGTCACTGGACAGCAACATCTAGCATATTCCATTTTGACATGCATGCCATATCTTTATAGCAACATTGAGCCAGCCAGGAAGTCCCTGCCCTCTGTTGGGCAGTGTCCAACAACTGCACCTAGTTCTGAAAGCTGTCTACTCTATGCCCTACAACAAAGTTCCCCAACCCCCCTAACACAATTAGAGCTCTGTCAGAAACCACTCTTCCATCAATCAGCATCTGGGTTCCACCTTTTCCACAAGCTTCCAAAGTTCCTGTCAGACTATGGATGGGGCCTTTGGCACCATCACACTGTGCTAATAGTCTGCACCTCCCTGTAGATGCACCTCCCTGTAGATCAAACAGAGTGGTGAGGGACAACCCCACCCGAGTGGCAGTGAAGCCCAGAGGGAAGACTCTCAGGGTAACAGGGGAGAAAGTGGAAACAGGGAACTCAACTGGACGATGAGCCACGATCATACTAAACCCTCAAAGGGTTGAATAGCCTACTCCGGCTCCTATTTTCTATATTATTACAGCATGTCTGCAGCTCCAACAATCCTTCAACCAACAGCCAACCTGTAGCTGGGAAGGTGGTTGACCAGACTAAGCCATTACTGGCCCAGATGCTGCTGTTAGGCTCCATCTGGCCCGAGCTTCTCAAGATATTGATCTCTATAAAAAAAAATTCAGGAAATGGTGCCCTCCCAACTACTGTTACCCAGCACTGTGAGTTTATTGCAGAACTTGTGAACATGATGTGACTACAGCAGCTATAAGTGGCAATCAGATCCTGAACAAACAGAGGAACTCAAATCACATTTATACATTTTATAACTGAACCACTCACAAGAGGGTTGATCCAAAACAAAAGTGGATGCACTTCAGGGGCGAACAAGAAGCAAAGCTGCCTCACAAGTTTTTGGGGCTGAATACAATCGTTTGAGCAAAAAAAATAGGCACGTCCCCAATTAATGCACTCAGAGATAGTAAGAACTGCCAGTGCTAGAGTCAGAGATAACACAGTGTGGATCTGGAGAAACACTTCTGAAGAAGGGTCCCGACCCGAAACGTCAACTTTCCTGCTCCTCTGATGCTGCCTGGCCTGCTGTGTTCCTCCAGCTCCACACTGTGTTATCTAGGTCCCCAATTAATCACTGATTTCTATCTAATTCAGGTGACACACCATTGATGTTCGTGGATATGATAGCTACTTTATTGCAATACAAAATCTGCCACGTCCTCATCAACTGCAGTAGCAGGAAAGTGCAGCTCATGGAAATAAAGCAAAAAGGGATTCACATGTAATCTATACACACTATGAGGGACATCACCT